CCAACCAACCATTTATCCATCCAACCAATCATTTATCCGTCCAACCAATCATCCATCCAACCAACCATTTATCCATCCAACCAATCATCCATCCAACCATTTATCTATCCAATCATCCATCCATCCAACCAAACCAACCATTTGTCCATCCAACAAATCATCCATCCTACCATTCATCCATCCATCCAACCAAACCAACCATTTGTCCATCCAACAAATCATCCATCCTACCATTCATCCATCCATCCAACCAAACCAATCAATCATCCATTCATCCAACCAAACCAACCAATCATCCATCCAACCAATCATCCAACCAAACCAACCTATCATCCAACCAACCAATCATCCATCCAACCAATCAACCAGCCAACCATCCATCCATCCATCCATCCATCCATTCATCTCCATTAGGTGTTTTACCCACAGAGAAGAAGAAAGCTCCTTCGACGTACAGAGAAGTCAGATTTACAGTCTCTCCTCCTGTTCAGCAGCTCTGGATGATAATAAGTGAATTATGTTATCAGAACTCCTCAGAGCTCACATCAGTGCCTGGAAGTTTACTGCTTTACAACTTATTGTCTCAATCTTGAAAGTGTTTTTTTTTTGTCAAAGAAACAGAAGGGCTTTTAATCTGAAAAACAGATGAGAGCCGTAGCTCCAAAACTGAACRTTAAATAGCCATGATTCATTTTAGTTTTGCTTATTTTAAAACATGTTTTATAGATTTTAGGGCAGTGGGTTCCAAAGTTCAGCCCGGGACCCCGTTGTGGGTCATGAAACATAAAGCAAATGTCCACAAATGACCTCCAGAAATAAAATGAAATATAAAAAACAGCTAACGTCATATTTTCACCGTATTACAGCAAAGAATAAACACCACTAGTATCATGTGAAGGTTGTGGTTTTGTTCTGATGTTGGGGTCTTTGTTAGATCTGCTGCGGGGGTTTACCTCACATGTCTGAGATGTGCTGAATATCTGAAGTGCATCAGACCGAATGAATGATATCGGATCTGCCCCCCCTCCTGGGGTCTACATCCTGGCCTCTGACCTTGATCATTCTCGGGGGGCTCTGTGCCATGTGTCCCCTCAGCTGTGGAGCATTAAAGCAGACAGGCAGGCTTGTATAAAGTACCTCAGAGTGATACTTGAGTAAAAGTACAAATATCAAGTATAGATAATCCAAATATCTACTACAGTAACAAAGTATTTCTTTACTTTGAACTCTGCAGACAGGAACAGGAAGACAGACTCGTGTCTTTTCTTTACAGATTTATTTGTTTGACTGACAGGAGTGTGTGTTACTAAMACGTGTGTGTGTTTTCCTGGAGATGGGTTGTGTGTGTTGGACGGTGTAACAGCTAATCTTGCGCCCRGGTGGTTCTGATCCTTTTGATGGAGGCCTGGAGCCTCGGTGTCTCCGGGATCAGCTGTGCTAAGTCCACAGCTTAGGAAGGAGATCTGGTGAACGAGTGAAACTACAAAGACTGTGGGACTAAAATAGTCCAGGAAACAAGCAGGAGCGCACATGTTGCTCATCTGATCCGTCATAAGCTGCGTACACAACACCAGGAACAGCCGGGCCAGGAGACATCCAGGACTGGAGACCAGTTCTGGACTTCTTGTCTGGAGACAGACTGGGCTGCTTTGAGTCACAGCGCCCCCTGCTGCCCCACATGACACATTCATGATATTCATGAAATGAATTCATCATAACTACAGCTGGTTTGTAAAGTTACACAGTCAAAAAATACCACCAATATTTTTTTATTTAGCCTTTTATAAGAAAAAAAAGAACAGGTTTATTTTTCAAAGTCAGTTTTTCACCTTATGATTCATACATTTATAAATGTCATAGTTTATAAACTAAATATTTAACTTACAAATTAAATATTTAGTTAAC